ATTACACAGGCCCACAAAAAGAACAAAAGTGTCTGTGCAATTGACCAGACATATATATTTTTATGTATTTTTTTGACGCTGAATCCGAATTTGCAATAAAAAAATAGAATCCAGCTACTTTTTTATGGGGTTTTGCTCGAAAAACCTCATTTTTTACAGTTTTTTCATGGTTTTTTTAAATAAATAAAAAATAAAGAAATATTTTATTTTTTGACTTCAGAATCGAATCCTACGGGAAAAAATACAGCGAAAACCATGTTATGAATTTTTTTTTTACAGAAATTTTAACCCACCGTACGGCGATGAAAAGGCAGAAAATCGCCAAAAGTGAAAATTTGCTTCAAATTTAATTAAAATGACATTAAAATCAAGTTTTACGATTTTGAACCGATTTATAAACATTGAAAATACTCTATTGGAGGTTTTTGAGGTCGCTGATTACGAATTTTAAGTCATTTTTTTCAAAAAACAACTCCTAGTCAGCGTAAGTGGACAATAAACATGATAAATTGAAATTTTTTCAAAAAATCGATGTTTTTGATACTGTTCTGGAGCTTTTCCACTACATGAATCACAAAACTAGAACTTTTTTCGACTCTTGATCATAAATTAAGACTTAGAACTTATGTATAGCGATATTCATGAACTCCATTATAATATTTTTACCTTCTTTTAAGAAGTGCCTCAGAGTTTTAATGGGTTAATCAATTGAGTTGGTAGAATTTTCGCTAATATTTCGCAACTTCGATAGTGAGATGTTGGATACTAGATATTGGCGATATCTATTTTTATTTTTGTCTTTCAAAAAAATATTTTAAACAAATTTTTAAAGTGTTTTACGCTTACGCATACGTTTCTCGTCAAATGACCGGCGTAAAGGATTTCTGACACGCTTTTGACGTATAGTTTTTTTTTCATCAACAAAAAAAAAGAGGCCAAGTATTCGTAAAAGCGTGTATGTAAGTTCATCCTCATAAGAAAAATAATTTTTAGCGTTCCAGCATATATTTGCTTTCCACCTCTCTGAATTTTGTTCTCAGTCAGAAAGGAAAAATTGTGAAAGAAGTAAATACAATAAAAATCAATTTTTGTGTTTATACAGTACGGAAATGAAAAAAAAACATGTATAAAAAAAATATATTTTACTAAATAACTTGTTTATTTCATGTAAAATACAACTAAATAAATGAATCCACAATAAATATAAATTTTCATCGAAAACATGTTATAAACTGTAAGACAAAATGAAGTAATTGGTGTCCTATACTGGGCTCACTCATAGCAGAGTGGGTTGATGGCTTGCCCGGTGTGCCACAAGACGAGGCTTAAAATCTCCTTGGAAACTATTGTTGTTTTTTTTTTTGTAAAAATTGGAAAAAAAAAATCAGTAAAATTCAAGTAAGTCCAATGTGTGGTGTGGTGGAGTCAACAATCTGAAATCGTGGATTTACTTTGTAGGGCAGACCGCGCCTATAGAAGTATAACTTAAATAAAGAATATTATGTGGATACCTTACTCAATAAGTGGTTGCAAGTTACTGACTAAAATACCACCCAAAGGAATGCACCGTACGTGAAGTTTTTGTCATATTATTTTTTATTCCAACTTACACATTAAAAATGGGACAATTCTACGTCTTTGTTCTTTACATATGTTCTTTACATATAAAAAAAATATGCACAAAAAATGAAGTATTTTTCTTATAAAAATGAGCTTAAAGACTTCTTAGCATTTATTGTAATATAGAGTCCCCTGATACATTACGATGATTCATTAGTCGCTGTAGTGCACTTTGACAAATTTTAAGAATTTTCGCTAATATTTGTTAAGATGCCTAACATGAAAAGTTGATTTCTTGTGAATAGTAAAAAAATCAGTGGTGAAAGTGCTACTTAAGTTGAAGTGCTAAACTAGCCAAAATGTACAAGAAGTAAATGAATTGTTAAATGAATAAACAGTATATTTTAGATGTTGTGCAAGCAAGTAAATTTCACTAAAGAGCAATTGTAGAGTTTGAATCGCTTATTAAAAATTTAGTTTATGCTAAAATTTAAAAAGAAAAATTTCGGTGTTTTTCTGAAAAAGTTATCTAGGGTATTGGAACTCTTTTTTTCTAAACATCAACGCATAATTAACATAAGNTGATCGTGAATAACAAAATTGGTTAAAAGTAAAAGATAAGGGGTTTCGCATGTAAAAAACAAGACCCGATTTCTTTTATGATTTTTATTGTAGACCGGTTAAGCAGATAACTAATGAATCCTTTCGTTTGGAAAATAGCATTAAAAGAGTTGAGAAATTGAAGCACAAAGCTCATGAACGAAACGTAAAATTTAAAAAGAAAAATTTCGGTGTTTTTCTGAAAAAGTTATCTAGGGTATTGGAACTCTTTTTTTCTAAACATCAACGCATAATTAACATAAGTCATGCAAGTTTGAAGTCACGGTTGAAAAAGCTTAAAAAACAATTTAGACTTGTTTCTGTACGTTTTTATAGTAAAAAAAATGTCTTACGTTAATGATTATTTGTTGGTCTATTTTACTTTACAGTCTGCAGTTAAGATTTCACGTCTTAGAGTTTGCTCGAAATAAAAATGTCGTTGTTAAAAGCATACTATAATCATTCTATTATAGGCACAGTAAAAATTTTCTGGTAAGACTCGTTACTATACAGTCACATGCTGCTAGTAAATCTGGCTCTTACTCTTTCTGCACCAATGTTGCATTGGGTCCATTTGTCAAGCCTTTACCTTTAACAGACTATATTTTGAGGCCCTCTTTTCGGAAGTTTGACCGGTGGTCTCCACCTAGCGTTTGGTATCAAATCTGCTAATCACTACCTAAAGCTCTAATATTGTTTCGCATTCACCCGGTCCTAAAGACCAGTATGGCAAGAAAAAAACTGTGGAACTATATTTAAGGAAATTCTGACAAAATCTGCATTCACCGAAATTTGAAGCCACAACTTCTAGAACGATTTCATATCAGTACCAAGCACGCTTCCTACCAAACTAACACCGTTGTGAATAATAATTATAAATAGTGGGGGATTCGCGTGCAGAGCACGCAAGGAAAAGCTTTCCTCGTATACATATATTATTGCGTATGAAGAGGGAGACATAACTCAATTTTAGAAAAACTGGACATGTAGAGCAACTTTTAAACTGATAAGTTCAATTACAGAATATTAATATTTGGTATTGCTTTTTCGGTAGAAAAAAAAGAAATTATTTAAGATATAAATGACTTAAATTTAATGCTCATGCACGTACACATACACACGTGCGTCATTGATTTTTTTGCATGTTTTCAAAACTACACCGAGTTGAAAATCTGTTGCGTGTACAAAAATCTATGTTAAGCACTTAGCTATGTGTGTTACACTAAAAAGAACTCTACCACTTAGACTGAGCACACCTATGCTAATTCAGTGGTTTTGCCACTAGAAGTTGCGCAATACCAAAATAGCAGGGCACGATTCTGTTTTGGTTGAGCTCGTCTGCTTAAATCACATTTGAATTTATTATTTAATAATTTAGATAAACTTTTAAAAAGTTTCAAATTCTGTAGATATAGAGCTGCTTATAATGAAAAATTGGAGTAGAAAAAGTTATGAATTTTAAATTAACAAAAATCTTTGCCCATTAAGGTGGTTTGCCAGTAAACCTGAATGTCTCACGAACTGGATGAAATTTTGAGAGGTTGTTATAGAAGTCCCAACGTACCTACACTCAAAATTTCAGACCCGCTTAGCGTGGAAAATTTGGCGTAAAAGCTCTACAAAAATCATACTTAAAGGTGATTGACATACGAATCGTAATCGATTTTTACCAAACCAGATAAATATAACCATAAAAACGCTCACGACAGTAAAATAAAAATGACTGATTTATAGCTAAGATCACGAGCTTTCTCTTTGTACTTAAAAAGTTGAGGCTTAGCGTAGATTTTACTGAGATATTTAATGGAGAAGTGGATTATTTGTTGATTTTGCCGTCTTATTACGTATACATAAATAGTTATATAGCACTTCATATGTTACGTTTCTTGCGCATGCGCACAACCACAACGTAAGATCTTGATATATGTATGTATGTACGTACATGTATCGAGTTGATCCTACTCCGAACAAACCCACTGGTGAACTCCCTTGAGACGTATCTTAAAATTGGTTCCTGCATAGGAAGATTGTAGAGAATTACTATCAGAACTTAAACTTAGTAAACTATTGGAAATAAATAATAAGAATAATAACTTTGTATAATGGTTCTAAACGAGATGATCAATGTATGTATTAATACGATTTTATGGCAGTAGCTCGAAAAATGAGTTGTGCTTAAAAATTTTTAATTTCTATCATGTCATTTTTTAGCCATCAATTTTTGACACGTTTTGAATTAACACATTTGTCTTTGTAAGAATTTAGCGGTAGCATTTGTGTCACTTTACATTTTACATGACAAAACGTGTTTAGTTGAAAAATTTATACATGATAAAATTTTCCAATAATTTTAAGTTAAAAATAATACATTTTTGAGTAATTTACTTGAAACTCATCCATTTCCTATCGAAGTGAAAAAATACATAGTTAATGTTTTTAATTTTAACTGACAATTTGGAATACCTTATTAAATGTTTTTTGTTCATAACGTAAAAAAAACAAACAAGAGAAAAATATAAAGTAAAAAATTATTCTTTTGTCTGTGTCAATACAATTATAAATTAATCTTACAATCGTAATTAGACTCTAAAGCTACAATATTTAAAATTTAGTGGACAGTATTTTTACCTCACTTCAATTTTGCTTCTTCATTCTTAACTTCTATCATCTGTCGGGAATATTCTAGTTACAATTTTTATCTCAGGTTTAGCTGAAAGTCAAGCTTGTTTTGAGGATAATTTTAACTTATTCAGTCTTGTTACTTTATAAGTAGAGGGATAATTGTCACCGAGTTAAGGCGTTTTTGTTGTAAGTAATGTTCTTTACATTTTATTTTTCAGGATAGACATAAAAAGTGTCCCGACTAGTATTTGGTCGAAACCTAAGATCAAGATAATGGCTTCTCAAAGAATAAGTTTCTACGTTGAAATTTTGTGAATACTTGGTGTATTTTTCTAGTCTTATATATAAATAAGATAAAAAATATATAGGCATTGTATGAGACAAAGAAGATGTCAAATTTTTTGTATGCCTGGAAAATGAAACTGAAAAAAATGGGAAACGACTACGTCAACATATCGTTCTAAAAGGTGCTTCTATAATAAGCCTTAAATACAATAAATAATTCATCACTTTTTATTATTTCATATAAGTCTTAGTTACCTCATGCTTTTTTAAATATTGATTTATGGTTTGTCTAGTTCTTTGTTGCAGTTATCTAAGAGTCAGCGTTATTCACTTTGATCTGGGAAGTTGGAACTGTTAAATTACTTGTCTTAATGATCATCAGTAGAACATATACAACCACCTGTGAGTGTCTATTTGTTTTATTTCAATGACTAACTAATGTTTTTCATCCTGAAGAGTCTCACTCTTTTCTTGCTTCAAAAAGTAAATTATTTATTTAGTACATAATTTTTTAAAATCATTTTGAGATACTGTATTTTAGGCTACTAAATACATGTCGAAAAAAGTTGATTAAGGCGTACGTCCGTAGTTAAAGTATAGCTGCTACTGTGAGATTCAAAGCGAAAAAGACAGATGTACATAAATTAAGGGTGGTTTTGTAAGTTGTAATTAATAAAAAAGCATGGGCACGATTTGTTCCTAACATTAGAGTTGGAGAGATAGAACTTACATTTTGGAACTTGCGCTGGAGTCTCAGATAAAGATAAGGATATTTGAAACTTTGTTAAAAATTTCGGTTTGGCCTGTGTCAAGTATAAAAGAAAACAGTTTTGCCAACCTTAAGCTGTATAACAATTGTTAATGGCCGTTAGAGTCAGTATTTTGAGAAAGAAAAAAAACTAGAACTCAAGACTTTTTTTTTAAGTACGAAGTGAAGCTAAAATGAAAGGAAATCCTACTTTAGTGCAATCCACGAAAAAAATAGTTATAAATATAATGTCTTAATTTCGATACAAACTAGTCAAAAACATCACTTAAGCAAATTAAGATCTAAAAGTGTTCTGTAACAAAAATAATTCAAGACTCAGGTGATACACAATGTAAAAACAATTTAAAAAAGTTTTCTAACTACTTCGCAAGGGCAGTTTTGTCATGTAGGCTTGAGATATAGAGGGTGGAGGAAAGACAGGAATCAAACATAATCTAATAGAATTATTTCAAAAAATTATTTTATGTAAAGCACAAAAAATTATTAAAAAAATTAAAAAGGTATAAAATAAATAGAAGTATCTAGGTTTTTTAAGATGTTCTGGAAAAAAATGTAAACAAAAAGAAATAAATTAATACTGCAAAAGATTATAAGTTTTTGTAGTCGGTTAGGGTGGAGTCTCTTAAAATTTAACGTGAAATTGCTTGCAAATATAAACTTAATTTGTAAGATAAGACTTAAACTGAGGTATGTTAAGGTGCAGAAAATGGATGGGTAATGACTCAAGTAATAATTCGTGATTCCAGTTCTCTGTACTCGTCAATGACTAGCAACTGCCAACTGTCTTGACCGATTGAAATCTTTACCTGTATTTTCCCATTTAAAATAACATTGAAAAATCTGAGCTGGGCTGGTTTTCGTACGAGGCGTCGATATATCCAAATCCACTTTTTGTCCGTGCAAGTAAGCTAGGTCAGGCCCGTAAATCCCGACGATATTTATGTTCATCTGTTAACCTTACTGCTTGGCAAAAGCAGCATCAATCAAAGTTGTACTTGAGCCGTCGTCGTCGAGAAACACGAAAACCTTGGTTGATAGCTTCGGGCCTGACACTTCAACAGGTTTCATTTTTAGTAACGCATGGGACTCGGCCAGTCAGAAATTGGTGACCGCTGCACGTAAAGTTAAAGTTGACTTTTTCTCATCTGATGTAGTTGACAGCGACGTTGTTTGCCTGTCGTGCCCGTCGCACAAATATATCTGTGCAGCAACTCGTGATGGGCTTTGCCGCAGTCGATGCTGTTTTGCAAAAACCAGTGTCTTTTCTTTGATTCGCGAGAAAACACATGAGACGTGGAAATCCATGACCGATTCGCTGGCAAACTACGCATGTATCAACGTCAGAACCCGCCTCCTACTTTTTAGACACGTTTGCCTTTTTACTGTAGTAGTTAATAACCCGTTGTGCAGGTTTCTTAGGAGCTGTAAACTTATTTGTAAGCGCTGTAATGTCAGTGTTAAAGATGCCTTCTGCCACTGCAAATTCGGCCTCGCGATACAAAAATTTCGCCAATTTTTCTAGTTCTGTATAAACTTCAGTATTCTTCACTGCGTATCTATTGTATGCATACCGCAAAGCTAATGGCATTGTATTTCCCACACTTTAAACTAATTCAAGATTAATCAAGTAGCCGACAAAATTAAGTGATTGCTAAGCGGACACTGCGCTTTGTAACTTGGAACCGAAAAGAGTTAAAGTTATTTTTCCCGCGTCTATAGATGGTAACTCCAAAATCTCGTCAACAAGCTTACGAGCGATAGCGTTTTTATCGCCGTAGTGAAGTTCTGAGGTCTTAATGGTTGTGGCTGCATTTTTGCCAGTCACTAGTAAGCTACTGACCGTCTCTTTTGCTTCTCCTTGCAAAGCTATGAAAAAACGTGGGATGTTTTCGCTGTCAATGAAAGCCACGTGGGTGGATGAAGACTCGAAAACATTTTTAAAATGACGCGATTCTAACGGATTTCCGAAAAATACAGGCAAAGCCTTTTCGGCCGATAAACGACTTTAAAAAAAAAAATTGTCTTGACCTCTTAAACTATCACGAGCAGCGTGAATATACGTCTCAATCACGTTTGCAAGGCGAGTTAACAGATCTCCTGCCACTGAAGCATTTTGCTTGACGGTACTTACTTGTTTATATGAAATAATTTTTGGACGTTTATTCTTTTGCTGCTCGAATTGCGTCGACGCTGTAGACAACGAGTTAAGTCTCTTAAAATGTCCTTTCGCACGAGCTGAGGATTACCTTTCGTAACTGTTGAGCTTGCCTTACTGACTAGTTGGTCGTCCCTGACGACTCGTTATCGTACTTTGTAGAATAATTTCCCAAATTACTTCCACCGTGATCATCGATTGCTGCAGATATCTCCTCTCGCCTTTGCTTGGCTGCTCCAGATTGGATCTAGTCGATCCACCTACCTCGTGCTTGAGATTCAGATCTTCTAGCCTTTTATTAAATCGTCTGTTCATCTTGCTAAAAATGTGGTCTATCTCTATCCCGTTAGTTTAGTCCTAGGCTTCGGCACCAATTTTTAAGGTTACATGTAGAGGCAACAAGAAAACACACAAGGAATAAGTAAAAGAAATGAATTTATTACTGTAAAATGTTGCACATTTTATCGCTCTTTATCGCTTTCTTTATCGCCATCTTTATCGCTCGTAAAAGACGACTGATTGCCTTTTCCCTTTTTGTTTGTCCATTAATTTTCAAGCTCGGTGTCCTTTGTTTTTTAGCGCCTCTGAGGTTACACATACACATACGCACCTCCCCCCTTCTTGTTAGTTTATCCTAATTAGTTTTGAATCAAAAGATAATAAAGCGTAAACGAAAAGTTTTTACTAAACAAAAAAGCAAATAAGGTCTGGATCAAAAATGATTATTTTGTAAACTTAATACTCTTTCTAGACCAATAAACTGAAAATAACTTGATTATTCACTGTAATTTACGTTCATGGTTAAAATCTTGATCCTGAGGTTGAAAGGTTCGTTTTCCTCTCAATTCTCCTTTTACACAAATTGCTACTCATGTATCTTCCTTTTTTTTAGAATCTGAATTAGATAGTCTCCTGCTCTTTTCTTCGCCTCTTTATCCCAGCTTCTCTGTCTGAATTTGTCTCCATGTGTAAGTGGGTGTATTTTTATTGACCTTTATTGCTCTTTTAACCTGATTTTCATGGACCTTTTCAATCTTTTCTCGTCTTTACCATTCCTAAATCTCTGCCATGTATAAACATGCCATTTTTTACCATTAAGTACAGTTTTTATTTAGATTTCCTACATTGGTTCTCTTGTGAATTTTCTAAACTATGTTAATTATTTTTTTAGCTTTTTCAATTACTTTGTGTGTTAGTGGAAATAATGTCTTATTCAACCAGAGTCCTTAGTATTTGTAATATTTTACTATTTCTAGCTCCTCTCCTCGGTGTTTTCGTTTTTTTCACAGTACCTCTATTTCTACATACTGTAATCTTTATTTTCCTCTTAGTATTTACTTCGATCCTATTTTTTGAGTTGACTTTTATGAAGTCTTGAAACATCTCGTTTAATCATTCTTTAGTTCCTGCCACTGATACTACGTCATCTACAAACTTTAAACAAAAAAAATTTTTATTTCCTACTACAGTCCCCCTTTCGTTTTTACTATTCGTGACTCCTTCTGTTATTATACTGCCTGGTAGTCCCTGATTTTTTCTTTTTCTTCGACCCACTTTCCGATTCTTCCTGCAAGAATATTGGTTAGTAACTTATATTGTACATCGAGCAGTGCTGCCTCTATAATTTTGAAAATCTTTATTGTCCCCCCTTTTCGTAGAAAGAATATATTGTTGTTTTCCATCCTTCTGCTAAGTCTGTTTTAATAAACAGTTGTATTTAATATTTCTATTAATTCTAGTTCTGATGTAATGGTAGTTCTTTTAAATGTTCTAATACAGTGCTATTTTCTCCCAACTGTCTTTTATTTCTTTATTATTTTCAGTGCTTAAACTACTTATACTGTTATTTCTGCGTTCAATTTTTTTTCCTCCTCTGCTTCTTTGTTTTCTGTTCCTTTCTTTCTAAATGTTGAGAATGTTTCTGTGTTTTTCCTATTAATTATTGCCATTTCTGAGAATTGTTGAAAATATATTGTTATTTTTTCCTTATACCTTTACTTTTATCCCTTCATTTAATTTGGTTCTTTCTTTTTATTTTTGTAATTTTTTTTTCATGCCTCTCAACCTTAGAACAAAACTACTTTTAAAATTACTACCATATAACGTTTCTTTGCTCTTCAGAATTTTTCCTCATTAATTTGAATGCCCTACTTAACGTACAACTTTTTTCACATCTTACTTTTCTGCTACTTTCTACATATTATTAGTTACGAAGTTCCGCCTTCCTTCCAGATTTTTCCTTTTTTTCTATACCTATTGTTTTCTCTGCCGTGGAATTTTTAAGATAATCTTTTTTAATTTTTCTAGTACATCCTTTATTTCTATATTTTTATCAAAAAGGATTACACATGTTTTATTATTATTGATTGTAACCCCTTTTAGAATGATCACAAAACTTTCTTCCTTCTATCTCTGCTCCTCTTTTTAAATATATTTCACCTATCATTACCGCTTTCGAAGCCCTGC